AAACCAGACAAGGACAATACAAAAAAAGAAAATTATGAGCCAATATCACTGATGAACATCGATGCAAAAATCCTCAACAAAATACTGGCAAATCAAATACAACCATACATTAAAAAGATCATACATCATGATCAAGTGGGTTTCATTCCAGGGATGCAGGGATGGTTCAACATCTGCAAGTCAATCAATGTGATACACCACATTAACAAAATGAAGAATAAAAATCACATGATCATCTCAATACATGCAGAGAAAGCATTTGACAAGATACAGCACCCATTTATGACAAAAAGTCTAAATAAAATGGGTATAGAAGGAAAATACCTCAACATAATAAAGGCCACATATGACAAACCCACAGCAAATATCATTCTCAACAGAGAAAAACTGAAAGCTATCCCTTTAACAACAGGAACCAGACAAGGATGCCCACTTTCAATACTTTTATTTAACATTGTATTGGCAGTCCTAGCCAGAGCAATCAGGCAAGAAAAATAAATAAAAGGGACCCATACTGGAAAAGAAGAAGTGAAATTGTCACTCTTTGCAGATGACATGATTTTATATATAGAAGACTCTAAAGAATCCACTAAAAAACTTTTAGAAATAGTAAATAAATACAGTCAAGTTGCAGGATACAAAATCAACATACAAAAATTGGTTGCATTTCTATACACTAATACCAAAGTAGCAGAAAGAGAAATTAAGAATACAATCTCATTTACAATTGCAACAAAAAGAATAAAATACCTAGGAATAAACTTAAGCAAAGAGGTGAAAGATTTGTACACCGAAAACTATAAAACATTGTTGAAAGAAATTGAAGACACAAAGAAATGGAAAGATATTCTGTGCTCTTGGATTGGAAGAATTAACATCATTAAAAAGTCCATACTTCCTAAAGCAATCTATAGATTCAATGAAATCCTTATCAAAGTTCCAACAACATTTTTCACAGAAATAGAACAAAGAATCCTAAAATTTATATGGAACAACAAAAGAACCTGAATAGCCAAAGGATTCCTGAGAAAAAAGAACAAAGTTGGAGGCATCAAACTCCCTGATTTCAAAATATACTACAAAGCTAGAGTAATCAAAACAGCATGGTACTGGCACAAAAACAGACACACAGTTCAAGGGAACAGAATCGAGAGCCCAGAAATAAACCCACACATTTATGGACAGCTAATATTTGACAAGGGAGCCAAGTATATACAATGGAGAAAGGAGAGTCTTACTTCAATAAATGGTGTTGGGAAAACTGGACAGCCACTGCAAAAGAATGAAAGTAGACCATTACTTTACACCATGCACAAAAATTAACTCAAATTAATTAATGGATTAAAGACTTGAATGTAAGACCCGAAACCATGAAACTTGTAGAAGAAAACATAAGCAGTAAGCTCTTTGACATCGGTCTTAGCAGCATATTTTCAAGTCCCATGTCTGACCAGGCAAGGGAAACAAAAGAAAACGTGAACAAATGGGACTACATCAAATTAAAAAGCTTCTGCACAGCAAAGGAAACCATCAACAAAATGAAAAGACAACCTAACAATTGGGAGAAGATATTTGCAAACCATATATCAGATAAGAGGTTAATATCTAAAATATACAAAGAACTCATACAGCTCAACAACAAAAAAACCAACAACCCAATAAAAAATGGGCAAAAGATCTGAATAGAGATTTTTCCAAAGAAGATATACGGATGGCCAACAGGCATATGAAAAGATGCTCAACATCATTAGCTATCAGGGGAATGCAAATCAAAATTACACTGAGATATCACCTCACTCAGGTCAGAATGGCTATAATTAACAAGACAGGAAAGAACAAGTGCTGGAGAGGATGTGCAGAGAAGCGAACCCTCGCACACTGCTGGTGGGAGTGCAAACTTTGTACCCACTATGGAAAGCAGTACGGAGTATCCTCAGAAAATTAATAATAGATCTACCATAGGCTCCAATTATTCCACTGCTGGGTATTCCAAAAAACTTGAAAACACAAATGCATAAAGATGCATGCACCCCCTATGTTCATTGCAGCATTATTCACAATAGCCAAGACTTGGAAGCAACCCATCAAGGTGCCCATCAAGGGACAGATGGATAAAGAAGATGAGGTATATATACACAATGGAATACTACTCAGCCATAAGAAATGATGAAATCCAGCCATTTGTGACAACATGGATAGAGCTTGAAGGTATTATGCTAAGTGAAATAAGTCAGAGGGAGAAAGTGAAATACCGTATGATCTCACTCATAAGTAGAAGAGAAAAACAATGAGAAACGAACACATAGCAATGGAGATTGGATTGGTGGTTACCATAGGGGAAGAGGGGGAGGGGGAAAGGGCTGATGAGGCTTACATGTGAAGGGACGGACTAGAATTAGTTTTTGGGTGGTGAACATGATATAATCTACACAGAATTCAAAATATCTTATGATGTACACCTGAAAGCTATATAATGTTATAATCCAATGTTACTGCAATAAAATTTAAAAAATGGCAAAAAAAAGAGAAAATAATGTCTAATGATTTTTTAGAATTCATGAAAGACATGAATCCTTAGTTCTGAGCTGGAAAATAAAAATAAATCTTAAATACATAATAGGGAAACTACAAAACACCAAAGACAAAACCCGAAAGCAACCAGATAAAAGACAGACTGCCTATGAAAGAACAATAATTAGATTAAGTGTGCATTTCTCATCAGCAACCATAGAAGCCAGGAGTACAGGAGTTAGCAAACTTCTTCTGTAAAGGACCAGACAATAAATATTTTAGGCCCCATCAGCCATATGTTCTTTGCACATCTACTCAATTCTATTACAGTACAATAACAGCCAGAGACAATATGAACACAAATGATCAGGACTGTATTCTGGCAACATTTTACTTATGGACACTGAAATTTAACTTTCATATAATTTTAGTGTGCCCTAAAATATTCTTTTGATTTTTCCAACTGTTTAAAAATGTTTTTAAAAAATTCTTAGCTCATGAGCCATACAAAATAGACAATAGGCTGAATTTGGCCTATGGGCTATAGTTTGCCAACCACCAGCATAATATCTTAAAAATACAGAGATAAAAACAACCATTAACCTAGCATTCTATACCTAGCTAAACAATTATTTAAAAATGAAGGTGATATAAAGACAATTTCATGCAACTGCTAAGAGAAATTACTATTCAAAGAACCCAGTTGAAAGACTTAGGTGCATATCAGGAAGAACAAAATTAAAGTCAGAAAGAGGTGGAATACAAGATGAAATGCTGGGAGGAGAAAAGGAAACACGGAGGCAATCCAAATAACCCTTGATGGCAAAAAGAAAAGTGATAATGATAAGAAATTTTGCTTAAAAAACAAAAGCTGAATTGAATTTCCAGACAATAAAAACTTGTGAGATCGAAGGATGGCAATCAGAAGCAAAGCCTTCTAAGGTGCTGTGTCTTTGAGAGGAGGCTGGAGATGACTAACTTTAAACTTTGTTAAATCAATTATGCATAGCTACAAATTGAAGGGAAATATCTTTTTATTTTAACAGTTATTTGATTATTTTGTTAGGTGACTCCTCTTTATCATTGTGATATAAAATCTCATTCAATTTATTTAAAATTTGAAAAGTGATAAGAATATTTAAATAATAATATAGGTGGTATAGAGCTATGGCAAATATTTTTATATCGGTTACAAATGACTTCAGTTTGGGAAATCAGCATAAAATTTTTTTGAAAGTATTATTTGCAGAGGTAGATGTGATATTTCTACACACCTAAATATATATTTTTTCCAAACACCAAAAGAGACTTGCAAGTGTCAAAATCCTCTTAACCAATGAGCTATCAAGCCATGAAAGACATGGGAATCTTAAATGCGTATTACTTAGTGAAAGAAATCAATCTGAAAAGGGTGCATACTGTATGATTCCAATGATACGACATTCTGGAAAGGCAAAAAACTATGGAGACAGTAAAAAAAAAAAATCAGTGGTTGCAGGGGGCAATGTGGGGTAGGGAGGGATGAACAGGCGGAGGACAGGGGATTTTTAGGGCAGTGAAACTATTCTTTACCATACTTTAATGGTAGGTCAATGTTATTATATTATTTTTCAAATTCCACAGAATGCACAGCACCAAGAGTGAACCCTAATGCAAACTATGAACTGGGTGATAATGATGTGTCAATGTAGCTTTATCAACTATAACAAATGTTTGATAGTGGTGATGCTGTGGGAGGTAGGGGGTGGGGTTCGGGGGGGTGGGAAATAGAAATTCTTGGAAGTTTTCACTCAGTTTTGCTGTGAACCTGAAACTGCTCTAAAAAATAAAGACTTTTTTCTCTTTCAACCATTTGCTTGCACATAATTAATTTTTCTGTTTTTGAAGGCAGGTCAAGAATTACTCCAGCTTACATTTACTGAGTGCTTTACATAGATTTTCTCTTTAATCCTGGTGAAATAGGTATTATCACCCTCGTCTTATAGTTAAGGACACTGAGGCCAAGAGAATTTATATATTTAAGGCACACTCAGAGAATTTAAACATCTGTTTATCTGACTACAAGTCTGGCTGGTTTGCTAGTACTCTGCTGATTTAATTTTATTTTTTTCTATTACCTGGCTTTAAAATACCTTCAGTTATTTTTAATCACAAGCCTTAGAGTTAATTATTTGAGCAGAGCTGTCAAGAAACGAACGAGCGTGGACCTCAGAGACTGCAAACCCTGAAATGCAACGCGGAGCCGGGCTGCCTCAGAGCGTTGCAGCTCGCCCCTTAGCATCCTGGGAATGGTAGTTTTCTGGCCTCTCTCTCCCCCCGCCCTCGAGCATCCGGTCCGGAGCTTGGTTCCTATTCCCCTTGCTGGGCGCCACAGCTCGACAGATCCACCCGTCCTCGCACGGGCATCACACTCCCGCAGACTGGCGACGCTCCCCTGACGCCCTGGACTCAATAACCATGTCCCTGCAGGGCAGGCCAGCGTTACCCACCTCAGCCGCAACTCCAGGACACAATCCTCCACGCTCGCCACCAAGGAGGACGCGCAGCCTGGTTACCATGGAAACGACGCTGCCTCCGTCACGGCGCGTGCGAGCGGTCAAAGGTCACCCGAGCCAGTTCCGCTTCCGGTTCCGGGATCCCGCTTGTTGTGAGGAAGCTTTGGAGTCTTCGTGAGCCTGCGGGGCCGATTTCTGGGGTCCAGGCTTCGGGCAGGTTGCTGCTGCAGCCATGGCGGCCTCCACCGCGGCTGGGAAGCAGAGGATTCCCAAAGTGGCCAAGGTAGGCAGTAGCGAGGGACCTTGTGGCAGGAAACTGGGAGAGGGGCTTGCCTGAGAGGGGCTTCCATGGTGCCGGGGGCTGGAGAGTGTTGTCCCGGATGCAGGCCCACCCAGCGGTGCGGGGCAGAGGTGTAGAAGAAGAGGCAGCGTCAGCCGGTGGTGGGGCGCAGGCTCTTTTCACCACGGAACACAACCTGTGTCGCTGTGGCCTTCGTTCTGGGGAGGTGTGTTTGCGGACGGAGGATTGGGGTCATTCAGCAAAGATTAACAGCCGGGCAGTGCGCTCGGCTCTGGGGAGCTGCGCTCGAAGGCGGGCGACGAGTGGTACTTAAAGTTAAGGCGCGAGTAAGTGTAAAATTGCAACCTTGCCAAGTGCTACTGAGGCAAAGTAGAGTACGCCGTGGAATTGTGAGAGTTTTGTGTGGCGGTCTCCAGAGTAAACTGCTGAGGAAGTGGTGTTTACGCTGATCCGAGAAGGCTGAATAGGAGGAGTTAGCCCGGCTGAGAGTGGACGGAATGAGAGTAGATGACAAGAGTTATATGGGGGCATAATTTAGGTTAATTAAACAATAAATTTGATATGATCTGATATTTTCATCCGTGGCTGGTACTTACTGAGTGCTTAATATGTGACAGGCTTTGTCCCAAGGCTTTACAGATACTCTCCCTGCAGTCTGTTTCTCCATCCCAGAGGGTTCTCTTGAGTTTGTCCTTTCCATCTTCATTTAGATGACTCCCAGAGATAATGCATATAAAGCACATAGCACAGGGTCTGGCACTTAGTACTTATTAGATATGAGCTGTCATCATCATTGTCATTCTACACACGGCATTAAATAATTAATGTTTCTTATAATTCAATTGCATAAACTTTTTTGGGCATCACTGGCTCAATAGAAACATAGTGTGAATCACATATGTAATTTTAGGTTTTCTTATAGCTACATTAAAAAGTCAAAACAGGGCTGGCCCAGTGGCACAGCAGTTAAGTTCACACGTTCTGCTTTGGGGGCCCAAGTTCGCCGGTCACACCCCTGGTGTGGACCTGGCACCTCTTGGCAAGCCATGCTGTGGCAGGCGTCCCACATATAAAGTAGAGGAAGATGGGCACGGATGTTAGCTCAGGGCCAGTCTTCCTCAGCAAAAAGAGGAGGATTGGCAGCAGATGTTAGCTCAGGGTTAATCTTCCTCAAAAAAATAAATAAAATGAATAAATAAAAAGTCAAAACAGGTAACATTAATTTTAATTATATATTTTATTTAACTCAGTGTATCCAAGATATTGTCATTTCAACATGTAATCAATATTAAAAAATTTAATTAGGTAGTTTATTCTTTTTTTTCCAAACTAAGTCTTCAAAATCCAGTGTATATTTTACACTTACAGCCCATCTCAATTTGGATTCACCACATGTAGCTCACAGCTACTGTGTTGGACAGCACAGCTCTAAGACCTCAGGAAGCTTATGGTCTAATGATGGATACTTACTGAATATTGTCTTTGACTTGAAATGCCATGAAAAACCAACTACCGTTATCCGCGTGGGACATAGAGGTTGTAAATAGAACGTGTAAATAGATGGTGTGATGCTAGATAAGAAGTGGTAGACATCTTGATAAAACAGAACCTCTGGTGAGAATTTTACCTAGGCCGCTTCAAAGTTTATTATTATACTAATCTAAAAGGGAAAACTTGCTATTTTTGCTACCTTGTCACTTAAGACTTTTACCTATGGCTTTGTAATAAATACCATGCATGAGATAGAAAACATATTTTTTGTATTTAGTTTCATAGAGAAATGGGAACATGTCATACAAAGAGGGCATCTTGTAATATTACTTATGAAATTCACATCCTAAGAAATGTGCGTTTGTTTCCTAAACCTTGTGTGAAGATCATCTACTAAAACCAGAAATGTCTTCTGTCTAAAAAGGTGAAAAACAAAGCCCCGGCTGAGGTACAGATAACTGCAGAACAACTCTTGAGGGAAGCTAAAGAGAGAGAACTTGAGCTTCTCCCTCCTCCGCCTCAACAGAAGATCACAGATGAAGAAGAGTTAAATGATTACAAACTAAGGAAAAGGAAGGTCAGTCAATGTGATATCTTTCAGTCTATTAATATTGTTAAGAATTTATAGGTCAAAGTTTGAAAAGTTCCTCATTGGTTAGAGAGACTATAAGATAAGAAAAGGTTAGTGTCTCTAGCCACATCAATAGTATAACTTCTGGTTTCCAGATAACTGCATTTTGTTGAACTTTATAAAATATGCCATGAGTTGTCTATTTTAAAGTATGAAGTAGTTAAATCCAGCAGAGACATAATTCTGATGTTGAGTCAAAGATGAGTGGAAGTTTAACAGGTGGAACAACTGACACCTAGAAAGGGGGTGGACTTAGTGAGACTGCATTACGTACTGCTATCTCTACCACTTTCTGGGTTAAGAGTTAAGAGCTGGGAAGGAGCCATGAGAAGACGTGGGGAACAGCTCTGCTCCTCTCCCTAGAATGGAGGGTTGTTTTAAACCACTAATCCTATTGTATCAACTTACTAGTTATCCTCAGTGAGTTCCTGTAGGAAATTCTGAGACATTACTGGGAGGACGTAAATAGTCAAAAACGTTTTCTTATTGGGAACAAGTAGAGTATATTAAAGTGTCAGTTATTTGTTATGGGCAATAAGAGAAAATGTCAGCAATCCTAATTCTTTTATCTAAAGTGTTTCTCTTGGTTTACCTGTAAGAGTTTAAAGAAATACCTGTGATTGCAACCTTCTTTAGTGGGTTTCTTATTTCTCAAGGATTCCAGGATGTAATTTCTCTTAAATAAGAACAAAATGAATAACCTTTTTAGTACAAGGATTAATAGACAAAGGTGATGTCATTTTTTATTATTTTCCTTTAATTTGACCCCTTTTGCCTTCTGCCAGACTTTTGAAGATAACATAAGGAAAAACAGGACAGTAATTAGTAACTGGATAAAATACGCACAATGGGAAGAGAGTCTAAAAGAGATTCAAAGGTAAAATTGCTGAGCATGTAATTTTGTACTTAAAGATGTCATAAGATAACAGATACAAAAAAATAAAAAAAGTTAAAGCATGAGTAGAAGATTGTGCCTCTGGTGGTAATTTTCACAGTTTGTTCGTGAAACTCTGGGGTTCCTTTGAAGGGCCTCAGGGGCACTGTGGTAGGTTAGTCCTGGAGGGAACAGCAGAGGAGGCTCCGTGGGCAGGTCTCGCCACTAACGCACACTCTACAGCCAGAGAAGTGCAGTTTCATCTGCTTTCTGTCTATTGGAATTTTTTTTAATAAAAATCGTTCTGCTGAAAACCAATGACCAACAAGGTAAAAATCACAACCTGGCCTTTCCTGTTGTCCAGCCTTTCTGCATTCTCCTAGCATACCCCTTGCCCCTACTGTGCCTGCGTACTTGCCACTCATGTCTCCTTACTGTGACATTTGGCTATTCTCTCTGCCTGGAATGAGCACCCCTCCCCACCCACCTTGGACTCTGGTCTTTCCTCAAGTTCTTAATTCTGGAGTTACCCACTGCTTAGCCTTTTCCACCAGATCTTTTTATTTCTTCCCCTCTGCTTCCTTATACAAATCTTGCCTATAACATTTATCACATTGCATTGTAATTACATGCACGTCTCTCTTTCTCTAAGGCTTTGTAAGGTTCCTGGGAATATCACATCTTTTCACCTTTTTCTGGCCAGAACCTGGCTTGTGGTAGACACTGGTAAAATAGCAGGGCACTACAGATGGTTGCTACATGTGTTGTATGTACTGCTTTTGATACCCTCCAAATCTTGCTTCTTAAGGGCTCGATCCATATACGAACGTGCTTTAGATGTGGACTATCGAAATATTACACTCTGGCTGAAATATGCCGAAATGGAAATGAAGAATCGTCAGGTCAACCATGCCCGAAATATCTGGGACCGGGCCATAACAACTCTGCCTCGGGTCAACCAGTTCTGGTAAGTTTCTGATCTAATGAAACGGCGTTTTGTAGACTAGGAAAGATCCACATTCATGTTATTTATTTTATTTACCTAGTTGTAATTGTATGTATTTAATTTTATATCTTCCTTTTTCTTGAAACCTACTATAAGTACTTTTTTTTGTTTTATAGTCTATTAGGTCATAATTACAATGTATAATAGCTCTGTAATCAAAACTAAAATTTTGATTGCAGTCTTCTCTGCATAAGAAACTGCTTGTTGAACTAAAAGCAATTTTTAAGAAAAATATGTTTTTTCCAATTTTTCGTCCTTTTCAGATTTATCTTTTAGTAAGAATACACATTTAATATAACCTTTAGGGAAGACAAAGTGTTAAATATTCTTCACTTTTAACAAAGTAGAACTAGAAATTGCCAGAGAGCATTTTCTCCCTAAGTCATTTTGACTGTGACGACGGATATTTTCGGGTGGTTTTGTTAAAGGTACAAGTACACGTACATGGAGGAGATGTTGGGAAACATTGCTGGCGCCCGGCAGGTGTTTGAGCGCTGGATGGAATGGCAGCCTGAGGAGCAAGCCTGGCACTCCTACATCAATTTTGAGCTGCGATACAAGGAGGTGGATCGGGCCCGCACCATTTATGAACGCTATATCCTTTGGTGAGGTCTGAGTGATGCCGTAACTGTCTTGTGTGCTGCTCCTCCCCTGGAGGTGTCCTCCTGGTCAGGACACACAGTCGTTAATGTTGGCCTAGAAGTCCAAGATGCAAGTTTCATCTGCATCATAAGCTACGTATGTATTTTCTAGGGATGTAGGTTGGTCAGAAT